ACAGTGTGATGGGGCCATCCAGATATGCACAATTTAAATTTTTTTCACTTTGGTCGTAGCATTTATATATATATATATATATATTAATTTACTCCATAATTAATGTCTATCTAAAATTTTATAATAAAAAATAGGAGTTTTTTTTAAGGTCCCTAATATTAGAAAAGGACATTCCAAACTTTCATACTACCTCAGGTCCCTCAAAAACATGCGTCTCTTCCCTCCAAAATTATTGGACCAAAATATCCCTACATTTTACATTCAAATGTCTTTCAGTTTTTGAAAATTTTCAAAACTTAAAAATTCTTTTATTTTAATTTCGATATCCATTTTCAACAAAAAAATAATTTGTGGAATGCTCTCTTCGAGATCTATCAAATAAGATTCATGATGAATATGAAATTTAGGAAAAAAAAAATTAACAAAAATTTTATTGAGTTCGAAATCAACATGAAACTAAATTTCTCTAAATACAATTTAACAAGAGAAATTTCAGAGAAAATCAAATGTGTTAGGCCATCTCCAACGGTGCATCAAACCGTGCATCAAACCATGCATCAGATTTTAAATTTGATGAAAAAATGACTTTTTCAAGCTCCAATGGTTTCATCAATTTGATATCAAAATGAGAATTGAACAAATATTTCATCAAATTGAGGACAAGCTCTTATTTTACCATTTCACTGTTTTGGACCGTTGGACGGGGAAACCAGCAACCAGCCGGGTGTCCGGCGGTTGACCAACCGGTCAACCGGTTCCCTTTCAAATAGGTAGGTTCAAACCGGTCAAAAAGGTTCAAACAAGTAAAAAAAAAAAAAATAGCCTTACAGATCGACCGGCCGGTCGACTAACCGGTCAACCATTTCCCTTTTGATGCACGGTTGAGCAAGCCATATCAGATTGAGAAAATTGACTTTTTTTTACTCAAATTTGGTGAAAAATTTGGTCCACCGTTGGAGATGCTCTTAGAGAAATCAACATGCAAGTAAATTTCTCTGACTACATTTGTAGAGAAATTTCAAATAAAATCAAATGTGTAGAGGAAATCAACATGCAAGCCAATTTCTTTTACTACATTTGCAGAGAAATTTCAAAGGAAAAAAAAAAATCAAATGTATTAGAAAAAATCAACATGCAAGTAAATTTCTCTGACTATATTGCAGAGAAAATTCAAAAATTCAATATGACTGAGAAATTTCAGATATATGTCAAGTGAAATTTCAGATTGCAAGTGTGTGATGGCCAAAGAAGATCAATATAACAAAGAAATTTCAGATATAAGTTCAAGTGAAATTTATCTGGTATAAGTCCAATGAAATTTCAAAAAAATTCTCTTCACAGATAAATTTCTTTGGTATAGGTCCAAAGAAATCTCAGCAGGTCCTCCAGATTCTCTGGTACAAGTCTAGAGAAATTTTACGAGAAATTTCTTACTATAGGTTTAGAGAAATTTCTCTGGTATAGGTCCAGAAAAAATTCAGCAGGTCTTCCAAATTCTGTAGTATAGATCCAGAGAAAATTACTTGGTATAGGTCCAGTCAAATTTCTATGGTATAGATCTAGAGAAATTTTAGTAGGTTCTCCAAATTTTCTGGTACAGGTCCAGAGAAATTTCGGCAAGTCCTCCAAATTTCTCAAGATTCATAAGTTTATTATTGTCTACGATCACCCATTCTTTATTGATTAGTAAATAGATCAAGGACCCATCTTCATGGTAGTAGACAAGGTAAATGGCAGACGTCGCGTGAAGGCAGCAGAAGGGATTCGGAACTTGGCATTGAAGACATGGACAAAGCTAGCGATGATGAAACAGTCGTCGGAATAGAAGGAGTCGGAGGTGGCTGTGTTGAACAATGAGGAGATGGTGGATTTGGGTTCTAAGGTTTGGGAAAAGAAGATTGCGAGGTAGTTGAGAGATCCAAACAAGACCGAACATCCAAGCATGTTGGTTAAAGTTGGTTAAGTTAAAAAATAACAATTTGACCATTAAAGCAACATTAATATCCTACAACTATTTTATCCTGTTCATTGTTAAATTATAACTTTAACTATTTATTTTAATTATTTACCATTGGAGTTGCTCTGATATTATTAATCATATATATATATTATTATTAACAGTAGTATTTTTCCTATGCTTAGGTGGTACATTATAAGGACTTGTTTTTTTCTTAAGAGAGTCACGT